GCCGTTTTTGGCTAATGTGTACGTAATTATATATGTGACTTTTCACATGTTTGTTCGTAATTTATATGTACATACTTACAAACTTGTAACCACTAGCGGATACACTCATAACGTACACCATGTGAGTGAGTGTGGATGTGTATAGGTGTACATGTGTAGATACAGTAGACAGTATATATGTGACCCTTCACTTGGTAGTTCCAATCAGTGATGTTTGCGATTGATCTACCTTTGGTGAGCCTCATGTGTGTATCCATAACTTCAGCAACTTCAAGGGTGACAGCCCCCCCCCCCCCTGTATTTTGAGGACTTTGTTCTCCTAGCTGAGAACCAACGCGTTAGCATCCGTTGGATGAACATGAAAAGCTCGACAATTGGCAATGTTGCTGGTGAGGAGGTTGTATCGGTTGCCAGGAAAGTAAGTCCATGACCATTTAGTAGTGTCAATGTCTGTAAGGTATTTTGCACACGCTGGATTGGCTTGCCTTATTTTCCAAATTTGTTGTCGAAATCTTTGCGTTTAAAGGAAAAGGTAGCAGCACATACAAGTTTGGCGAGACCGTTATTCTTGTACCGAGAAACAACATTTCTCATTATATGCACAATACATGTGCCATGGTGAGCTAGGGGGAAGACAATTGCATTTGCTTTGAGAAGGGAAATGTGACGATCTAAAATAATAGTGAGAGTGTTAGAATCTGCAATAATCCTTTCAAGCTTGGTCAGAAACCAGACCCAAGAGCATCATTCTCAGCATCAATAACAGTAAAAGCAAGAGGGAAGACTTGGAAATTTGCATCTTGACCACTAGCAGTTAGGAGGACGCCTTTGTATTTGCCTGAGAGATACGTGCCATCAATTATGAGAAAAGGTCTGAGACGACGAAATCCCTGAATTGAAGCACTGAAAGAGAGGAAGCCATAGAGGAACCGAGATTGACCAAAAACATCAAGTTCTGTTTCTATAGAGGTTACCGTGCAGGGTTTGGTGTGTTTCAGCCTCTCGAAGTAGTCGGCAAGGTTAAGATATGAATCCTCTGTGTTTCCAACAGTGATGTCAACAGCTTGTTCTTTGGCTCTGTGGCCTTTCAGGTATGAGGCAGAGACACGCAAGTCCTCCAACAAAAGCTGCTGGAGCTGCACAGCTTTGGGACCACTGGTGGGTTCACTGTAGCGGGAACGGTATATATGAGCTATGACCTTTGACGTGGCCTTAGCCTTGTATTTATCACGCAGGTCTAAAGCGCATGAGTGGCTTAGGTGGGCCTTCTTGATAGTGTAGTAGCCACAGTTTATGAGCTCTTTTGCTAGTATGCGTCAATCACAGTGCGTGTTGTGGCAACTTAGAACAAAAGAGTCCCTTGTTGTTCGGGTTTGTTTGAAGTGAAAGCGCTTCTTTATGCGTAGATAGCTAAGGAAATCTGACAATCTATTTTGGTGGCGTATATCTTTCCAACAAAAGGGTCACCATCGGTATCATCTAAGTTTAAATCTGGTACATCTTCTGCCTCATAAAAAAGATCGTCAAAAAGCAGAGGGATATCAAATTCCTCATCGCTGATCTAAGATGGAGGCCTGGTCTCCCGTGGTAGTGGAGTAGCAGGAGCATGTTGGTGGGACATGGGTGTTGGCGGTGAACGAGTGGAAGGGACTCCGTCATGTGTTCGGGGGACGATGAACCTTTACATATACTATCGGCTGTTTGAGGGGCGCCAGACTGTGGTGTACGTGTGGACGACCCTGGTTGTCCACGTTGATATGGCGTACGGTTATCTTTAATTGGTGTACGCGTGTACGAACCACCAGCGTGTATTGGTGGGCCTTCTTTCTGATGTACACCAAGAAAATCGAGGTCTTTCTTCCAATATATATCATCTTCACCTGAAACACGAACTTTATGATCAAAGGCATCTCTTGTGGTACAAGCATATGTCTCTAGGGCTGTTTTGGGAACATGAATCCCTGCCATAATCTCAGGTGCATCGGATCCACCAAGTGTGTCTTCCAACAATGGATCCCAGAAGTCATGGTCGTACCCACGAATCGGGACAGGTTCAATGACTGGTGGTTGAGAATTATCAGTTCCACTGTCCTCTTCATCGTCAATAATCCAGGCATCAGGGATGTTTTCGGGGTCATGGTTGAACATGTCTTCAAACATCTTATCTCCACATGAAAGAGTTTCGTCTTCGATGGAAACGCGTTTGGTTTTTGAACGTTGGGTAGATGGACATGGGTCGCAAGAATGAAGACCGATATTCTCCTTAGGAGGGTGAAGGACATGGGTGGGCATGTCTTTGAGTAGTTCGTATTCATCAAATAGGGAAAAGCTGGGGTTTTTCGATGAACCAGTTGAGGCGGGGCGAAAAGAGCATAAGTTTGGCTTTATAGGTTGGTTAGGGGTTGAGAAACGTAGAAGATTCTGGTCGGTAGAGGGTGGTTCCGGTGGGTCTACTTTCGTATCAAAGGTGACGAAGAGATTCATGGTTGGATGAACTGCTAAGTGATTGAAGAAATATGAGACAGCTCCGTCGTTGGTCAATAAAACCGGTGGAGTAGTAAGTCCCGTTGCGAGCTCCTTTGTATTAGGAGGCCAGTAACTGAGAACAGAGATCGGAGGAGGGTCCATGAAAGTAAAGAACTCTTTTGCGACATTGTTTTGTAGTTGAACCAAAGTCATACCAGTGAGAACAAGGACTATCCGAGACATTTTTTTCTTATTGATATCAAATTCTCAGAGAGAGCCGACGGTGGTCCATTCTTCGGGGATGACCATGCAATGGTCGACCATGGTAATCTGCGAAATAATAAGAACACAGATTAATGGATGATCGATTAGGTTAATTGTGAGTTAGAAAACAAACCTTTTTTTTAAAAGCTATAAATCGGAGTATTGTGAAGATTTACAGAAGAACCGTAACAAATTGGAAAAGGAGCTGGGAAGAAGACTTTATCAAACAAATCAATCTCCACCTTTAAAACAATAGGTGTAACTAATCCAATGGTTTATAAAAGATACAGATATATGTCTAATCTATAACACAAAATAAGTCTGGAACGTTGGATGGCAAATAAATGAAGGGCTGAGGTTTATTCCCACTAAAACAAATTCTCTACTTACTGTTAGCTAACTACAAAGTTTCCAATTAGGAAACAAAGTGGAAAAAGTTAAGATAAACTACCTAGGTAGTACGACTTGCCTCTTTATATATTAGAAACATGAAACTGTCCTAGAGTCATAATATTTCTGTAAATGACATAAATTTTTGAATAATTTAATCATGATTCCAACTCATGATACAAAATATAATACTCTGTATTGATCGATTTTACATATAATACGTTTTACTATCCTGATATAAATGAAAATAAGATTAAATTAATATTCATTAGCTTGATAATCTTTAATTTAACTCGTTAGAGTTTGTGTTCATTGTCTGTAAAATTCATCATTAAATTATTTTTACTGATTCGTTTTTAAGATTTGAGTGTATATATATATCACCTGGTATATATTCTCCTTAAAATATCATTTTAATTTCATAATCATTTCTTAATATAACTTACTATAATTGGTCTAAGTATATAGCTATCCATGTTAAATGATTTTAGTTTGCTTTTATTTCTATATACAGTATTTACTTGTCTTGCCTTGTATAATTTATAAAGCTTCTCAACTTATTCACATATACCAATTTGTGACAAGAATAAATATTATGGTATATTATGGTTATCCATTTTTGTGAACACTTAGAACATTCTTTAACTTTTTGTTCACTTTCACTTCATCTTTTAGAAAGTTAGAGATGCAGCTCAAAATATGAAGCACTTGATGTAAAACAGTCTTTTGTTTGAATTTAATTTCACATTCATTCAAAAAATATAATTATGGTATATCTCTGTACTAGAAAATATTAATTTAAAGCACAACATTTCCTTCTCTACAATCAAAAGCTTCACCAAAAGTGTTAACTGAGAGAGGAGTGGAGTCTTTACAGAAAAAAAAAAAAACTCGTCGGAGAATAAAAAAAAAAGAAGAAGATGTCGTGGCAATCGTACGTTGATGACCACCTTATGTGCGATGTCGAAGGAAACCACCTCACCGCCGCCGCTATTCTCGGCCAAGACGGCAGTGTCTGGGCTCAAACCGCCAACTTCCCTCAGGTTTCTTCTTTTCTCTCCGCCTTCTCTGATCCCTCGTTCACTCGGATCTGATTTCGATCCCACCATCTCCGTTCAGGACTCTGAAGAAAAATTGCTATTTGTGTTTATATCAACAGAGTTGAAACGTAGTTAAACGTAGCTTCCATAGAAGATCCATGGGGTTTAAAAGTAAATGATGAATACAGTCTATTCTTTGAAATGTTTTTTTCAGTTGAAGCCTGAAGAGATCAATGGAATCAGCAAGGATTTTGATGAGCCTGGGACTCTTGCCCCAACGGGTCTATTTCTTGGTGGTGTGAAATACATGGTTATTCAAGGTGAACCAGGAGCTGTGATCCGAGGGAAGAAGGTAACTCATTCTTATCCATAAACCCTTGCTTGTATAGATCTTATGATAGAGAACTCATTTTACAATCTGTAGGGACCTGGAGGCGTTACTATCAAGAAGACCAATCAAGCCTTGGTCATTGGTATCTACGAGGAGCCCATGACTGGAGGTCAATGCAATTTGGTTGTGGAAAGGCTTGGGGATTACCTCATCGAGTCTGAACTCTAAACCGTGATCATCAGTTTCTGCTTATGCCAATGCCTATTTCATTGTAATTGGTTGTAACAACACAATCGATTTGATACGGTTTGTATTTGTGTTTTGTAATGGCATTTGATAATTATCTTTGTTGGCTTTTTCGATTTTTGTTCCTTCATAATTTTTATTTTTTTTAAATGGATCAGGGGTTTGATTAAAATATTTGGTCCGCAAAACGTTACAATGTCAGACAAAGAACCCTTGAATATTCAAATGTAAGCTAGATGAATTTACACGTAAACGATGTAAACTGGAGAAAATGATTTCTTGATTCACAAATATGCAGGATAAATTTATACAAACGATGTAAATAGATAGTACGTGTGGATCCCAGGCCGGTGGATCTTACACCGTGATTAGACCTCTGGACAGATTCTTCGTAGGGGTACGATAGTTAACTCAAAGACCGCCAATTTGGCCTTACAATTATGAGAGGCTGGCTCAAGGATTTGCAATACTTTCATTTGGCACTAATTCAATTTACTAACCCAAGAAACTATGTTTTATAATTCAAGGAGAAACACAAATCAAACTGACAACATCCATTGACTCATTACCATACCCGAACTAAAACGAAACGCATTATCAAAACATCAAATAATCCGAGGGAAAAAATCAGAAGTCTTGGTTTGTCTACTTCTCTGATGAGTTTGGTCCTCTCTTCTTGCCAAAGCCAACAACTGAGACACAACACAATTAAAAGCAAATATGAATCCAACAGTAAGTTCAGTTGTAGGAATAAAACTTTTTGATGCAAATTCATATTTACTAAGAAAAAAAAAAAGAACACAAAATGTATAGTGGAATCAATGAATGAAAATGTGGGTACAATTTTCACAAACTAGTATATGCATTGAATGGTAGTGTATCATATACCACGCTAGATAAAAAAAAAATACAAAATGTTGAATGCTTGGCAGAGGATTTGTAGAAGAATCTAAAATGGAATTCAAAATCAAACACAAATATATCATCTGAAACTATTATCTCCATCAAATATAGAGATTTTGAAACAGAAATGACGAATCACAGGTCCTACGATGTTAAGATGAGATAAGGAGACGCAAAACGATCAATAAAACTGTAATTTAAATTCAGAGTAATCTCAGCCTAATGAAAACAATAGTTCTCGCTCTACATCTATCAAATGATCGATCTGAGAATCCTACTGTATAAATCAAATCAGGAGTACAAGTAATTACCGGCGGTGACGAAACGGCGGTTGTGTTGCAGTCTCTTGTGAGCACGGCCACGAGGCTTCTTCTTCTTGTCCTGCTTCGCCACTTTCGGTGTCTGACCTCTCACCTTTCCCGCACGAGCCAATGAACCGTGTACCTTTCCTGCGATTGATTATGGCACGGAATCAGCAACATTTCTAAGGAGAGTCAATATTTATATATTAAGGAAACAACAAGTCGAGGAGAATCACCCATTGTCGATTAAAGAGAATCTTCTTGGCTTCTCTGGCTCTGCTGTTGGAGACGACGACGGCGCTAGGTCACACTCTTTTAGGGTTACGAATTCACTGTTGTTTATATATTGTTTGTAGTCGTTTGAAGAGCCTACAGTATATGGGTCCTGATGGATTTCATATGGGCCTTTAAAGAACCAATTGTGTATCGACCCCAAAACCAGTTTAGGTTCCAAAGTTTATCAGCTTTTGGTTCGAGGTTTTTTACTATCGAACCGGACTTTGCCCGTTCGACCGGGACATTAACTGTACAGTCAAAACCGGCAAAAACCTTCTTGAACCGGTTAATTCGATTTACGCATTAATGAATAAGCTCGTCTTGGGGATTCTAGGGTTTCCTCGTATAACTTTGCTTGAGTTTCAAGTTTTGTTAAGTTCAATATATTAATCAACTTCTATTAAGATTCATAAGGCCAAACCGTAACAGATATTGCAAGAAGGTATGGTACAGACTCTCAAAGAAAGATAACAAATAGATAAACTCATCTCTTCTCTAGAACTTAAAAGCATACCGAAATAAATTACCGAAATGGTTAAGTAATCAAAACAAGCAAAAGTCTTTTCACTTTCTGTCTTTCATCTAAAGATTCAACGAAAAAAAGCTGCAACAATACTCTTAAAGATAAGGGTTTGTGTGTGAGTACATCACCATATTTTTGTTTTACTCGTCTTCATCGATGACCTTGGTGCCCAAACCAGACAATCCTTCGGCTGGAATCTCAGCGACAGTTACAAGAGAGTAAAACTCTTCCTTGGCATCTTCATCATCGTTTCTCTTACGAGCAACACGGACTCTGACTCTCCTAGGAGGACCACGGATACCTCTGCTCCATATCTGCTTGTTGAGCTTGACATCTACTCTAACGTCCTTGGTTCCCATTGCTTTCAATGCAAACTTCCTGATTTCTTTGATGGCATTCGGTGCCTTCTTCTTGAATGTGCTGTTGGATACATTGTCAAATCAGATTAATTACTTATCTATTTCAAAAACAGAAATTCTAATGACGAAAACTAACAAATGAAATGTACCAGATTTACTAGATAACACTCACGTATGAAGATGAATTATCATGATCATTACTCATCTACACACTAAGATTCTTCTTCTACAAAACCTTCTAGAAAAGTTATCAACTTTTTGTTTTGACAGCTCATTATAAGTATGTCAAATTCTAAAAGATAAAATGTAACTGAACTCAAAGATAAGCATGAAATGTAATATTTTTCATCATCAGACATAACCAATGCACAGTAGTAACCAAACTAGAAGCATTGTTGAATCCGAGTAAAGCTATACACTTTTCACTAATCAAGAATCCTACATCGAATCAAAAGGCGTTCACATTTCAATATGAACGATTCTAATCTTAGATTTACCAGCTATGGAGGCGCCTGTGGAGATTGATAGTGTACTCCCTGGTCACGATCTCCTCCTTTCTTCCCTTTCCTTTCTCCATTTTCCTCAGATCTCTGTTCTCTCTCTCTCTTCAGAATGGAGTTGGAGACGGCACAGAGCGAGAAGATTAAAGACAGGGTAAGAAACCCTAATATAAAGCTTCCGTTATGTTATTTATATTATTTGGGCCAAAATAAAGTCTGATGGGCTTCAGATATGCCAAGTCAGATAGTCCATTCTCATCTTTGTTCTTGTAACGTTTTAGTTGGGGATTCTTAAGTCTTGTGTGTTTCAAGTTTCCAATTACTATTTGATTGTTTTTTATATTTTGATCTCATCTCATACTTTTAAGAGCTTTTTTTGTACTTTAATACAATTGCATTTGGAAAGCAAGTATTATCATTAATTACCTTCGGCACCGAAACAGACAAGTTCGTTGGACTAGAACAATTGAGGTTTTATCAAGTTGTTGATTTGATAAAATAGATCTAACAAAAGCACACAAGAAACATAATAAAATCTTCCAAGTTCTTTTGAAAAAGGATAATGAAAAGGAGCAGTGTTATACGATTCAACAAAAACAAAACAACTTAAGATAAAACATGTTCAGCAAAATCTTTTACTTCCAAAAAACATATTCTGGAAAAACATATTCTGGAAAAAGCTTAAGCTTGACGGTTTCTTTGCTTGGCACCGGACTTGGCAACCCTAATGCTTTTGCTGATGACACTGAGTCTAGCAAGAGCGAACTTCTTCAAGTCTGGCCTGTAGTAGTTGTCTACTACCTGAACGAATTTCATACAATAACCGGTTACAACTAAATTTATACATGTAAAGCCAAGATGAGTAGGCAAATATTAAATGTTTAGATGAGACAATATATACCAAAGATGAACATAAACAGATTCGTTACGAAAATGCCAAAACCCTAGTGTCATAGTTCATCTAACAATGGAGACTTAATGATCTTCCTACCCAAAATAAGTAAATATTCATGCTATGTTTACCATCAGATATATAGATGAACTATCCACTCACATGTACAAGTATTAAATTAAAGACCAATTGCAGATAAAGAGTATTGACAACAGGATCATTAACAATTAATTAAAACCCCATCTAGCACTGAAGCATAGGCATAGACAAAGAAACAAACATCAAAAGTAGTAGAGATACACATACCTGGTTAGCAACAGCCTTGGACATCCTGGGGAATTCCTTCTTCAAGATAGACTTGTTGACAGAGACCTTAGGCTTGTTCTGCTTCTTGGTCTTGGTGGTGGCGAGAACAACACCTTGTTCCTTGTCAGCTGGCTGGATGGTCACAGTCTTCTTGTTCGCAAGACCTGAATCCACGACCAAGGATTTTGAGACATAAGTCCACTTCAAGCAAGAAGTCAACTCAAATCATATATTAGAGAATCCAGAGACAAACCAATCAAGTAACCACATTTCTCATTCAGACACAACACAATCATTCAATAGTATGACCAGTCTAACTGAAGCATCCCATTTCGACACAATCATTATATATTCAAGAAACAAAGATCACACTCTTAAAATTACCAGAGTGCTTGTAGGAGTTAAGGTTGCAGAGGTTGTTCTTTTCTTTGCTGAACTGAACTTTAGCGTTTCCTCTTCCGAACTGTTTGACCAAGAAACAGTTGTTGGTCTTAACAATCTCCCATATCAATTGCCCTGGAACTGTCGCCATTTCCAAAACCTGAAACAAACCAAAATAGAAATGATACTAAACATCAACACTACAGACATGAACAGATCGATGTAAGAGCACGCCTAATCACAAGATCTTATCAAATCAGAACCCTAATGCTACAAAATTCAAGACAGATCTAACCAGGCAAGGATATTGAACGAAGAACAATTAAGAGATGATCTATAGACTCACCGTGAAATATCGCAGATAGAGATAGTGTGAAAGCTAGACTCGTGTGTGTTTGGTGGCGCCGGAGCTTGGTAAAAGACGAACGACTCTTTATATATGATGACACTCTAAAACAATACCCTAATTCATGTTACTAAAAGTCTATATTACCCCTAAACACTATTTAAATATCGAGAATGCCACTACAATCGAGACAACATATTATGTTCGTACATAAATAAAATAATACTAGATGATAGCCCGCGCACATGCGCGGGATGAAATTTTTATACCAATATTTATTCATTAAATAGTTTTTAACATTTTGTAATACTACAATATTTATCGATTATAAAATGATGAATATAAATGTTGGTATCTTAAATCATCATAGGTCTGGACGTTTGAGACTTCGTCGGGGTTTTGGTTTGATTGAGACGTATTTTCAGATTTTGGTATTATTTTCATAAATCCTATTTGAATTTTACTAATTATCGGATTGGATTCGATTTGGTCTTCTCAATTCAGATTAGATTGAATTGTAACCAATATCTGAAATCATCCCAACAAATATTTTTTAAACACTAAAAGTTGGCAAAAAATTCAAAATATTTAAACTATTAATAAATCTAATTTAAAATTAGTTAAATTATCTAAACAAACTAAAAGATATTAAAAAAATCAAATAAAACAAACTACAAAAATCTTTCGAATACTATAATTTGTATCTACTAATTTCAAACCTTTTCACTGAAATTTTTAAATTAACATATTTATAATATGAATATCTACTAATGATACTTCATATTCGTACGATTTATGATAATTTGTATCTTGTTTGAAAAAAACAAAGTTAAACCATTGATCATAAAATTTTCAATGTGGGATTTTACTATTTTTAGTTATTTATGGTCGTTTTAAAAAATTAAAAATATAACCTATAAGAAAAAATTTAATTTTTTTACTATATATTTAATGTGATTGTTTAATTTATTTTAATAATTTAAAATTAAACAAAAAAAGAGAGAGGACACAAAAAAATATGTATTATTCATAATCATTAATTACATATATATGTTAATCATATTAGGTAATTCCGTAGCTTTTATTTAAGGAAAGAAAATATATTGTTTTATACCTAGTAGAATTGGTCTCTTAAAAAATGTCTATATATTATAGTTCTAAATGTAAGAAATTAAATGTTACATTATTTCATTCCTAGCAAAGTTGGTCCATTAAAAAATTAAGGCTGAGAAGCTCTGTGAGCTTGACACGTAAGCATGCTCTCCAAGGTTGTGCATTTATGAATGCTTCAGGATTAATATATAGAGGATATGCGAATAAGTATAACAAAAATTACATATAATTCGTCAAAAAAAAAAATTACAAATAACCTTTATTCAATAACAAAAAAATAATTTGTCATATATCTCAAATTTGAGTCTTGAAAAAAAACTAATAAACAAATGTATATGTATTACTTTTAGATCTATTTACATATATAAAATATAAAAATGATACTTCTACAAAACTAGATTATTAAATATATAAAAGAGAAATTGGACTCTATAACTACAAAAAAAAACTCAAATTAGCTAAGTAGCCAAAATTCCCATCTCTCTCTTCCAATCTCTCCCTATCTCTCTCTACTCTCTCTCTTAAAATCTAATTTCTTTTTTCTTTATGGCTATTTGACAAATAACCCCTACATAAAAATATGTAATAGCTTAGGTCATAAACACTTGTGGTAGCTTTTCAAAGAATCGATCTGCCAAATAATATGCACGGGAAAATAAAAAAGTCCATCATGTCAGGACACAACAATAAACTCTTTGCAATTACTATCTAACTAGATAATAACCGTGCGCATGCGCAGAGTGAATTTTTTAAATTAATATGTGTTCAATTTTAATATTTAGTAATATTATAATATTTATTAATTATAAAATGATGAACATAAATATTGGTATCTTAGATATGTTATATGTCTGGGCATTTAGGGATTCGTCGGTTTTGGTTCGATTGATTCAGATTTTCAAATTTTTGGTATTATGCTTTTTAGACTCATTCAGGTTTCATTAGTTATTGGATCAGTTTTGGTTCGGTTCCTTCCAGATTCGGTTTGGATCGAATTGTAACCAAAATCTGAAGTCATCCCAAAATTTTTTTTTGAAACCTCAAAATTGACAAAACAATTGTTAAAATATTTAAATTATTCGTAAATCTAATTTAAAATTAGTTAAACTATCTAAACTAACTAAATAATATTCAAAATAAAAAATAAAACAAACTACAAAAAATTTTAAATACAATAAATATCTAAATTACCTTGATATATAATAAAATGTTAACATATTACCAATTTCAGATATCTTTGGAACTAGTTCGGATTTCGATTCAGTTCAAATTATAACCAAATCCCATAGTTCGGATTTCGATTCAGTTCAAATTATAACCAAATCCCAAAGTACTAAGATCATAAATCTTGTTTGGATAAATTATAATAGCTACATCGCGTATTACAGAGAAATAAATATTAGACGAATGATCAAATCTCCATTCTTTGAACAAACTCAAAAGGATGTGACTGGACTTGTCATGATATTTCATTAAAATATTTTTAGAAATAAATATCAAAGATAATTATTTAATTTGAATGAAATAATATATATATATATAGTTCTTCTAATATTAAAAATCACTTTGATTTGAAGAAGTGTAATTATCGGATTGTCAGGACCAAATAACATATTAGAAACTAACTATTTAAAAACTATTTTGTATATATTAGAGTAAGCACATAAACTAAAACTAATACCTTTTGTTAATTTACAATCATGTTTTTGGTAAATAAATCAAAACAACCATTTTATTTACTTTATGTTGTATATAATTAAATGTTATTGATATTGTCATATATATATATATATATATATTATATTTAATTTGTATTTATTATTGACACTTTCTACTCATATGATTTTATTAATATTTGTATATTTTTCTCTAACAAAAATTTAAATAAAACACAAAAAAATTTAATGTGAGATTATTCCAATACGAATTCTAAAATGAAAATATTAATATCTCACTAAATGTTCACTGGAAATTTTGAAATTAACATATTTATATTTTCTATATAGTATATAATTTAATTTAAATGATATTGATATACATATATATAATATGAATATCTATTACTGAGACTTCATATTCAAATGATTTATAATCATTTGCATCTTGCTTGAACAAAAAAAAAGTTAAACTATTGATCAAAAGAATTTAATCTGAGAGTTTTACTATTTTTTGTAATTTATAGTCGTTTAAAAAAAATCTAAATCATCTACTTAATTTGATTGTTCAATTATTTTTAATAATATAAAATTAAACAAAAATAGAAAAGTATCAAATATGTATTATTCATAATCATTAATTGTCATATATATGTTAATCATATTAGGTAATTCTACAGCTTTTATTTAAGAAAGAAAAAAACTATTCTTTTATACACTAATAACTAAGTTGATAGTTGGCTTAATAAAAATTATAATTATATGGACCAACTTATTTTATAAGGATTCTGAAAATTGTCCTGGTGATGACGCATGACTACGAAAACATGTTGTAATGCTTTAGGATTGATCTATATCCATATAGGGGATTTCTATACTTTTATAACAAAAACAATAAAACAATTGTTCACAAAATTTTCATTGTAAGACTTTTAACAGTTTCACTATAAGAAAACTAAGCCTTTACTAGGAAATTTTACTAGGAAAAATCTTCCTCGTAAAATTACTAAGGCCTTACTTCGAGTTTACGAGGAAAGCAAATTTCCTCGGAAGATCCTCGAAAAATTACGAGAAAATGTTTCCTCGTAAGACCTTAGTAATTTTACGAGGATCTTACAAGGAAAAAGTACTTTTCCTCGTAAAGCCGTAGTAAAGACTTTCCTCGTAAATGCATAGTAAAAGATTACTACGAAATTAGGAGGAAACTGTTTATTACTACGAAATTAGGAGGAACTGGATAGGAAATATCGAATTTAAATAAAAAACGTGTTTTGTACCTACTTTTCCTAGCAATTTCCTAGTAAATGCTTAGATTCGAAAATTTCTATAAATACCACCTTATGTGATTCATTTGAAACACACCAAAAAAAAATCAGCTATAAGCTTGATCAAACACAAAAAAATGTCCGGTCCGGGAAATATTTTCGAGTTGCGGCAGTGGATGTATTCACACAGAGATAATAACGGGAGGGTGACGAACGAATTTCTGGAAGTGTTGGAGACGTTTATGCATCAAGCAGATTCTACACCATTCACGCAGGAAAGTGGTAAGATGTTCTGTCCTTGTCGGAAATGCTGCAATAACAAATTAGGCCCTCGTGAAAATGTTTGGAAGCATTTAATAAATAGAGGTTTCATGCAATATTATTATATTTGGTATCAACATGGAGAAGATGCTAGTTGTAGGAATGAAGGTAGCAGTAGTAATCAGGTTGAACCGGTTGATCATTTGCGTAATGAAGGTAGCAGTAGTTATAGTTATGATCATCACCAAGAGGAACAAATGGTAGATTGTGATAGGGTTCATGATATGGTAGGTGATGCATTTGTAACTCATGAT